GTTTGTGCCGGGCCGCTGCGTGGGGCAGGCCTCGGGCAGGAGCCGCTGCAGCCCCCAGCGCGCGCTGGTTTGCTCGTGCTTTCCGCGAAAAGAAAATAACAGTTAAAGCGGGATTCCCGCCTGTCCAGGGGCCTTTCGGCGCGGAGCCGAGTCCAGAGCCGTGTTCTCTCTTGGCAAACAAACAGATCCTTCTGCCGCGGCGCCGCGTGGGGGGCGTCGGTGGGAGATGCGAGGCTGTTTGTCCTTAACGTGCTCCAGCAGCTCCGTGTCTGTGTTTGGATCAAGGGGTCCTGCGGGCGGTGGTCGAGGCGGCGAACTCCGGGGCGTCGGTTCTCTGCCTGTGCGAGAAGGGAGACGCCATGATCATGGAAGAGACGGGCAAGATCTTCAAGAAGGAAAAAGAGATGAAAAAAGGTGAGGGCCGCTCCAAAGAGCTTTTCGGCGTTGGCACGTTCCTCGGTCCCGTTGGGCGGCCGGCGTGAACGGGCAGGGGCGCGGAAGGCGCTGCTCTGCGCTGGTGAGCAGGTTGCTGTTCCCAGAAAGCTGATTTTAACCCAAATCCTCCTGCCTGCCGTGCCGGAGAGCCTCAGCTTGCTGTTTTGATGCCCCTGATCGTCCCCGTCGTTGTCCAAAGTGACTCGTGTCTCCGTGTCCCCCCTGCTCCGTAGTTGCCGTGGAAGTTGTGTGGCGCTCGAGCGTGTCACCCAGAGCTCCCCAACCTCCGCTCCGGAGCCTTGGGGTCCCGTTTGCCGGTGGCTCACGCTGTGGATGTCGTTCTTTGATGGTTGCTTGGGCACAAGGCGAGCCGGTGCGGGAGCGGGGCACGCGTGGGGTCCTCCCGGCTTTGGCTGGAGACTGGGGTGACGGGGCCTTCTGCAGCGCTTCAGGAACTGAAACCCTGAGCGACGATCCGCGCTGGGGGGCTGCTGCCTCTGAGGCTGCGGGATTTCACGGGATACGTTTCTCCCCACACAGGTATCGCCTTCCCCACGAGTATATCGGTAAATAGTGCGGGAGCGGGGCACGCGTGGGGTCCTCCCGGCTTTGGCTGGAGACTGGGGTGACGGGGCCTTCTGCAGCGCTTCAGGAACTGAAACCCTGAGCGACGATCCGCGCTGGGGGGCTGCTGCCTCTGAGGCTGCGGGATTTCACGGGATACGTTTCTCCCCACACAGGTATCGCCTTCCCCACGAGTATATCGGTAAATAACTGTGTCTGCCACTTCTCCCCGCTGAAGAGCGACCAAGACTACATCCTGAAAGACGGGGACTTGGTCAAAATGTAAGTGTCTTGGTTCTGCTCGTGGGTTTACTGGCTTTGCTCTCTAATCCTGCTTGGTCCGTCCAATCCTTCCTCGGCGTGGCTAATTCCAGAGCCCAACAGCTAGTCCAGTTTGGCGCTGGAAACCCGCTGACGCTCCGAGAAGTCGCACGGGTTGAGCCGCGGTGCCCCACCTGTAACTCCCCCTCCCTGTGTTGCAGTGACTTGGGAGTCCACGTGGACGGCTTCATAGCGAATGTAGCACACAGCTTCGTCATCGACGCCTCCAAGGTGGGTTTGTGCCGCGCGGCGCC